TAATATTGCACGCAAATTCAAAAATTTTATTTATTTTTTAATCACATATTTTCCATCAATCTATTATCTCAAAATGTATTCTTCTATAAAAAAGGGCTCAAACGTGCTCTTAATATTTCAACAAATAGCAAGTGGCTCTGATCAATGCTATAACTTCATTGATGAACTACACTTCAATATGTACCAAATTGTACCCAATGGTCCCTAGTGAAGGAGTGGAAGTAAATCCACAAGAAAACCCTACATACGTACCGTGTACGTACGATCGGAGAAGAAAGAGATGAGATGGCCTTATGAAGAATATGATCAGATTTTATAGTAGAGAAATTGAAACAAACTGTTGACTTAAAAAAGCCATTTTTTTCACATTACAAACAGAGTGAACATAGTGTGATTTAGAATCGAACAAGAACCGAATGGAACTGTATACCAGTGAAAATTGTATAGTGTAGAGTGTAGAGCTAAATTGGACCATAATCAACTGATTATGGTTCGCACAGGCTCCAATCATTTTAAATTTTCGTAAATTAAATTAACTTGTTGAGTCGATTCACTAGTATTATAATTCTTGTAATTAGGGAAACAAAATTTGAAATTTTTTATACATAATACTGATTAATAGTATCACGTATAAAATTTTACTCTTCGTACTCTTTTAGAACGTTCAAGTTACCAATAGCACGTGAATTTTCATTTTCACGTTACCTTGTCCATGCTTGTACATCTGTACCTCTTGGAAATGAATGGGACGTTGTATAAATAGTTACCCTATATATAACATGCATCAATGTTGTGCTTTCTTGGTCATTTAATCGGGGTATCAATTCTTCAAGTTGATTTACTTTCTTAAAAGGTTGAACCCCGCCCCGCCCCGCTTCTAGAGCATTGTGGATAATGTAAATCGCGAGATGTGCCTTAACAGGTCAGGGTATAAGAACTGTCATACTGGTGCCCACAAAGAGTCAAATTCTATATTTTGTAAGAGATAGGAATCGAACCCTCACACTGCGACCGTTAGCTCAACTACTTCATTCATGTCCTTTGCACCACTGAGCTATGCCCGAGGAGCTTGATTTACTTTCTTAAAGGGTGATAGAATTGTCTGTTTGGCTCAAATGGCTAGAAAATTTATACCAAAATTTAAGTTGAACCATAAGCTAGAAAAATTATACCAAAATGGCTAAAAAATTATTTTCCAAAATGACAGGAAAAAAACCCTTTTGGTACAAATAAAATTACTGAATAGTAAATATTGTCATCAAATCTTGTTTTTAGTCTTAGACCCTGATTGGTAGAGCTTAAAATTCATATTTTAATCTAAGTCAAAATTAACAATTAATCACACATTTCATAATACCCACAACTTTTCAACCACATATTTCATCAACTTTTTATCAAAATATACCAAAATCTTATTTTAATTCCTACCATACGGGGGCTAAATATTATGTGTCGTATTTAGTGCTTTTTAAGGAAAGTTTAAAAAGTTGATGTTAAGGTCAACAATTAAATTTAACCACAAATTTAATGCAATCCACAACTTTTATTAACTTTTCAATAACACATTTCATTAACTTTTATCAAAATTCGTTAAATTCTTCGTCCAAACAACCCCTTAAGAGATTTTAAGATTAGGCATACTAGTAATGTCATTCAATCGTTATCTATGCATTGACGAGTGATCTCAACTTGCTCATGTGACATATTTTCTCTCCTTTTTCGATGAAACAAGACCGTTCTCAACTTGCTGAGGTTTTTTACTATCTACTTCTCATATACTCATTTTCGCATGATTATTTAAACATTGCCATATATACCCTAAATAAGATTACAAAAGAAAAAAAATATCGATATTCACTATGTCACACAGTGAGAATGCTTCTCTCCCCTTTTGGCACGGCAAAGATGCTAACAGTTAGGCACGAGACCTATTTTACCAAATAGTGCACTAATGATATAATCATATGTAAGTATTCTCCCTAACATCCAACTCATAGAATGCGTGTATGCCAGTTGTATGGGCTTGCCGGCTCAAGAATGAGGGGAAGGCGACCTTGAGGCATTGTACCTCATGGAGCCAAACTTGCGGTTGTGAAAGTTCGATTTAAAAAATACCCCATCCAATTACTTTCTAGATAAGCACAGTCAGTTCGAGATTAATGAAAGANTAAGGAAAGCCAGTAATTAATATGGAAGCTACAACATCTTACCTGCCTGGTAATACCTGGCCTGAATCCACACCAACCAGGTTGTCTTACTAATTTACTAATCAAAGCATAACAATTATCTAACCTTAATTTTTGTCTTAATCTATGTCATGAACATTTAATTAATTAAAACATGCACCCACAAATTATAATCTACCAAACTTGTAATATTCCAATCTTGAAGTAACACCAGTAATGGAAAATCACATTGTAGTCAAAGTCAATGATTAATTTTAACTACATATTTCTTGAGATTTACAAATTTCATCAACTTTTCAATTACATATTTTATCAAAATTTATTAAAAATACAATTTTTAGCAAAAATTCAAATAGGGATTTAGCCCATGTTTGATCCCATTATTTATAAAATACATTTTTCTGAATCTTCTTTTCAATCACACATTTTTCAATAAAATAATATTGCACGCAAATTCAAAAATTTTATTTATTTTTTAATCACATATTTTTCATCAATCTATTATCTCAAAATGTATTCTTCTATAAAAAAGGGCTCAAACGTGCTCTTAATATTTCAACAGAACAGCAAGTGGCTCTGATCAATGCTATAACTTCATTGATGAACTACACTTCAATATGTACCAAATTGTACCGAATGGTTCCTAGTGAAGGAGTGGAAGTAAATCCACAAGACAACCCTACATACGTACCGCGTACGTACGATCGGAGAAGAAAGAGATGAGATGGCCTTATGAAGAATATGATCAGATTTTATAGTAGAGAATTTGAAACAAAATGCTGACTTAAAAAAGCCATTTTTTTCACATTACAAACAGAGTGAACATAGTGCGATTTAGTATCGAACAAGAACCGAATGGAACTGTATACCAGTGAAAATTGTATAGTGTAGAGTGTAGAGCTAAATCGGACCATAATCAACTGATTATGGTTCGCAGAGGCTCCAATCATTTTAAATTTTCGTATATTAAATTAACTTGTTGAGTCGATTCACTAGTATTATAATTCTTGTAATTAGGGAAACAAAATTTGAAATTTTTTATACATAATACTGATTAATAGTATCACGTATAAAATTTTACTTTTCGTACTCTTTTAGAACGTTCAAGTTACCAATAGCACGTGAATTTTCATTTTCACGTTACCTTGTCCATGGTTGTACATCTGTACCTCTTGGAAATGAATGGGACGTTGTATAAATAGTTACCCTATATATAACATGCATCAATGTTGTGCTTTCTTGGTCATCTAATCAGGGTATCAGTACTTCAAGTTGATTTACTTTCTCAAAAGGTTGAACCCCACCCCGCTTCTAGAACATTGTGGATGATGTAAATCGCGAAATGTGTCTCATCAGGTCAGGGTACAAGAACTGTCATATTGGTGCCCACAAAGAGTTTAATTCTATATTTTGTAAAAGGTAGGAATCGAACCATCACACTGCGATCGTCAGCTCAACTACTTCACTCCTATCCTTTGCACCACTGAACTATGTCTGGAGGGCTTGATTTACTTTCTTAAACGGTGATAGAATTGTCTGTTTGGCTCAAATGGCTAGAAAATTTACACCAAAATGGCTAAAAAATTATTTTCCAAAATGACAGGAAAAAAAACCCTTTTGGTACAAATAAAATTACTGAATAGTAAATATTGTCATCAAATCTTGTTTTTAGACTTAGACCCCGGTTGGTAGAGCTTACAATTCAGATTTTAATTTAAGTTAAAATTAACAATTAATCACACATTTCATAGAATTCACAACTTTTCAACCACAAATTTCATCAACTTTTTATCAAAATATACTAAAATCTTATTTTAATCCCTACCATACGGGGGCTAAATATTATGTGTCGTATTTAGTGCTTTTTAAGGAAAATTTAAAAAGTTGATGTTAAGGTCAACAATTAAATTTAACCACAAATTTAATGCAATCCACAACTTTTATTAACTTTTCAATAACACATTTCATTAACTTTTATCAAAATTTGTTAAATTCTTCGTCCAAACAACCCCTTAAGAGATTTTAAGATTAGGCATACTAGTAATGTCATTCAATCGTTATCTATGCATTGACGAGTGATCTCAATTTGTTCATGTGACATATTTTCGCTCCTTTTTCGATGAAACAAACCCATTCTCAGCTTGCTGAGGTTTTTTACTATCTACTTCACCTATACTCATTTTCGCATGATTATTTAAACATTGCCATATATACCCTAAATAAGATTACAAAAGAACAAAAATATCGATATTCACTATGTCACACAGTGAGAACGCTTATCTCCCCTTTTGGCACGACAAAGATGCTAACAGCTAGGCGCGAGATCTATTTTACCAAATAGTGCACTAATGATATAATCATATGTAGGTATTCTCCCTAACATCCAGCTCATAGAATGCGTGTGTGCCAGTTGTATGGGCTTGCCGGCTCAAGAATGAGGGGAAGGCGACCTTAAGGCATTGTACCTCGGGGAGCCAAATTTGCGGTTGTGAAAGTTCGATTTAGAAAATACCCCATCCAATTACTTTCTAGATAAGCAGTCAGTTCGAGATTAATGAAAGANGTTGTGAAAGTTCGATTTAGAAAATACCCCTTCCAATTACTTTCTAGATTAGCAGTCAGTTCGAGATTAATGAAAGAGAGATTAAGGTCCACTTAATTAATGCTAAACAGTCATTACTCATTACTAATGCTGTTATTTAGTTTTACAGCTACTAGCTAAAGCTGGCAATAGAACCATTTAACTAAAGCACCCCTGGCATGGGTGAATATTAAACTGAACAACAAGGACAAAAAAGAAAATTTTAAAAACAACTAACGGCCGTTAGCAAGTTGACTGACGGCAGTTTCCTTGCACGGACTCGGTGGTAGACTACTCCTTCCCAATGCAACAAGCCGTTGCACAAACCCTTCGATTCTTCGTGCGTTCGTCTCCGTTAACAACCGTTTCCCGCCAAACGGCAATGATTCAACGCCTCTCTCCCCCAAAACCTCCTCCGGCCGTTCACCAACGCCGTTAGCCTATAAGGTAAACGCCGTTAACTTCGTGATCAGAAATATTTATAACATTATTGTAAATTTAATTGCAGTTAATTTAATTCTGATTCTCTGAATAGTGTTAATTGACTTGAAATTACCTGAATTCTGACGTAACTGTTGGGGTTCCAGCAAAAGGCATTACCGAGCATTTGGTCAATGGTTTCAGAGACCCCGTCGAGGGCAATGCCGACAATGGACGATTGCGAACACTCGTCGCCATGGTGGAGTTTCAACTTTGATGCAGTGCTCAACGGTCCGTTACCGAGAGAGATTACCAAAAGGTCATCAACGCCGGTTACTGACGGGAAATCACGCTTGTTGTGCAAGACGTGAGTTACGGCTGCGGCGGCGGGGTTGTTCATCACGAGTCCACCGTCTACGGCCAGGCAAGAGGTTTTCCCGTCGATCGAAGTGAGATTGAACGGCTTGAACATTGACGGTGTCGCTGATGTGGCGCGGATGACTTCCCAAAGCTCAAAATCGAAGCTCGCAGACTCGGAGGCATCGGCGCGGGAGAAGACGAATGGCGCCGAGCTGTTGAGGTCAAAGCATGGTATGAGGAGAGGCTTACAGGTGTCCTTTAGAGTCAAAACCTTTCCGTCTTCTCTCCTGAGCGCCTCCTTCAGCACCCTATCCATGCTCGTATCCGAAAACCTCTGTCGGCGCCGAAAAACGCCGACGTTTTTCTCCTTGAAAAGCTTCGCCTGATTCTCCATAAAAAATTTAACAGCATCTTTCGCGGAGAACAGTGGACGGCCGACACCATCGTCGGCGACGATCATGGCAGCGAGAAAACCGCCGATACCGGTGCCGGCGATAATATCGAAGAAATCCACAATGCGTGCGTGAGAATCACCTGTCATCGCTTGGATCTGAGACTCAAGGTGAACCAACGCGGCACCTGCAACAAGGCAAGTAGTTCCTCCGCCGTCAATGCTTAAAACACGCGTCTTCTTCCCATCATAGTGGCACAACCACTTCTGCTCCAACTTGGAAAAGATCTCCAACGTCAAATTATCCAGGTTCATCACTCTAACAACTTTCTCAACCTATAACACCACCACTGTATGTAAATCAAAGCAAAAAAACAGCCAGCAATTTTGCAAGCTAGCAAGTAAGGCGGCCAGATATATAGCTATGAAGGAAAATCTGAGAAAAAAGTGAAAGTCACGAATTAATACTGAGAAGCATTGATGGCAATGAAATGCAGATGAGCACCTTTCACTGTGTGTAACTGCGCATTTTCTTGCAAGGAAATGTGGGAGACTGAGAGAAGGGAGAGTGGGGGAGAGGAGGTTACGTGTGGTATATTATATACGCCGATGCTTCTCATTTGTTTTTTATTTTTATTTTTTTTAATATGTATGCCTGTTTCGGCTTTTTGTGTTTAGTTTTTTCTAATACACGTATACCAACAAAATAAATATTAAATTCCACTATACGCACGCACGTGCGCAGGAGGATGCGTTTCATTGGATTCTGTTGAGATGGGCTACATGATGTTGGGCCGTTTGGAGAGCCCATTAAGCTGTTAGGAGATTCAACTGGGCTTATAATAGGCTTCCATCTGGCCCATATTGCAGTGGCCCATAAGTCCACAAATATAGCAGTCATGGCCTGAGGAGTTGAAGGTGGAGTGATTGTCGGTGTAGAAGGTGACGATCGGAGAGGGTGAATTGCACGAGTGGAAATTTGGGCTGCTCACCTGCAACATGTGATATCTATGGCCGTACTCAAATAGAGTGTTTTGATTGTTGTTAAAGTAATGCTACGTGACTTGATTGTTGCAAATTGAAGTTATATGACTTTGTTGGAGTATGGTAAACTCTAGTATAATTAACTAAGTACGCATCGAATGCCACTTATGCCATTGTTAGTTTTATAACAAGCATCACACTAGGGACGGATGGAGGGGGGACTGGGGGGGGGGGGGGGGGGG